ACCTGTCAGCCCAGGCAAATAGTTCCCGAGACCCTATCTCAAAAAACAACCCATCACATAAAAGGGCTGGCTCAAGGGCTAGGCCCAGAGTTCAAGCCCCGTACCAAAAAAAAAAGTTTATCTGTGATGAAAATGGTACCACAAATCATAAGAGACAGGCCCATTTAGGAGGTGGACTCACTCTGGAGGGAGGGTAGATCAAGTCTTAGTCAGCTTGGGTTGCCATAATAAAATGTACAGACTGATGGCTTAAGAGACAGAAATCTATCTTCTCTCAGTTGTAGAGGCAGGAAGCCCAAGATCAAGGTATGGCAGCCATGGCTTCTGGTGAGGGCTCTCTCCCTGGTTCGTAAATGGCGGCTGCTCACTGTGTCCTCATATGACTTCTTGTGCGGGTGCAGAGTCAGCTCTAGTTTGGCTTATCTTTTCTTTCTTTTTCTTTTTTTTTGGTGGGACTGGGATTTGAACTCCGGCCTTCACACTTGCAAAGCAGGTGCTCTACCACTTGAGCCATACCTCTAGCTCATTTTTGTTCTGGTTATTTTGCCTTTTTGTTTGTTCGTTTGTTTTGTTTTGGTGGAACTAGGGTTTGAACTCAGGGCTTCATGCTTGTTAGGCAGGTGCTCTTACCACTTGAGCCACTCTTGCTCTGGTTATTTTGGTTGGAAATGTGATCTCTCAGACTATTTGCCTGGGCTGGCCTCAAACCTGATCTCAGTCTCCCAAGCAGCTAGGATTACAGGCGTGAGCCACCTGCACCTGGCTCTTAGACTTCTTCTAAGAACAACAGTCCTATGGGATTAGGGCTCCACCCTGCCTTTATAACCTCACTTAGCCTTCATTATTTATGTCTATTAATTAATTAAAAACATTTTTTTCTGTGCTGAAGATTAAACCCAAGGCCTCGTGCATGCTAAGCAAGCGCTCTACCACTGAGCTATGTTCTCTGCCCTAACCCTCATTATATTCCTTTTTAGTGTGTGTGGGGGGACTGGGGACTGGGGTTTGAATTCAGGGCCTATCCCTTGAGCCTCTCCACCAGCTCTTTTTTTATGGTGGGTTTTTTTGAGATAAGATCTCACCAACTGGGGAGAAATGACCCAACAATGTACGCACATGTGAATAAATGAATAATTAAAAGAAAAAAAAAAAGATCTCACCAACTATTTGCCAGGGCAGGCTTCGAACCTCGATTTTCCTGATCTCTCCCTCTTAGTAGCTACAGTTACAGGTGTGAGCCACAGGTGCTCAGCTTCCTCATTACATTCGTGAAGGCCCTATTTCCAAATACAGCCACTCAGGACAATGCTGCACGTGTGAATGGGGGGAGCGCACAATTCAATCTGCATCAAATCCTTTCCTCATTATGTAAACATGAACTCCAAATAGATTAAAAATTACTGGAAAAAAATCACAAAAGAAAAAGGGCTGGCGGAGTGGTTCAAGTGGTACAGTGCCTGCCTAGCAAGAGTGAGTTCAAACAGCAGTACCACCAAAAAAAAATAATTATAAGTTAATAACAGGAATGAAGATCTTCATGACCTTGGAGTGTGAAATTTTTCTTCAGCAAGATCCCAAGCCAGGCATGGTGGCAAATGCCTGCAATCCCAGCTACTTGGGAGGCAGAAGTAGGAGGATCTGGAGTAGAGGCCATTTGGGGAAAAGATATTGAGACCCTGTCTGAAAAACAAAATAAAAGCCAGAAGTCAGTGGCTCATACTTGTAATCCTAGCTACTTAGGAGGCTGAGATGGGGAGGATCACAGTTCAAGGCCAGCCCAGGCAGAAATTTTGTGAGACCCCATCTCAACCCATAACTGGGCACCATAGCAAGAGCCTGTCATCCCAGCTACAGCAGGAAACTTAAAATAGGGAGGATTTCAGTCCAGGCTGATTTGGGCAAAAAGCAAGACCCTAGGGCTGGCGGAGTGGCTCGAGTGGTAGAGTACTTCCCTAGCAACTGTGAGGTCCTGAGTTCAAACCCCAGTGCCACTAAAGAGAGAGAGAGAGATTAATATTGAACCATTCCTGCCAGTTCTTAAACAAACAAACAAAAAACAGAACAGTAAGGGCTGGAGTTGTGGCCTCTAGTTGTAGAGTACCTGCCTTGCAAGCATGAAACCCTGAGTTCAAAACCCAGTACTTCCAAAAAAAAAAAAAAAAAACAGAAATGGAAAAAGGTGTCCCTCCCACATCTTTTATTAAGAGAACAAATATTTACCCAGGAGCCACACCAATCACACCTACTAAAAGGTGACTAGAGATAAGGGGATTATTGGGCTGACAGAATGGCTTAAGTAGTAACAGCACCTGCCTAGCAAGCCTGAGGTCCTGAGTTCAAACCCCACTGCCAGCAAAAAAAAAAAAAAAAAAACCAAGCAAGAGAGATAAGAGGATTGTGAATAGGGATTGTGTCAGCTAATTAGAGATTGTCTGACATACTCTAGCAGATATCTTCTAAGTTCTGCATAGAATTTCATAGCATTTGTTCACTACATTCTACTGTGATAGCTAGAGTATAGCAGCCATCTTGTGAGTAAGAGGAAAAGTAAGAGCATCCGAGAGCCCTGACATCATCAATTGCTTAACCAACCCAACAGCTTACTATATCTGAAGTTTTTACTTGCGTGAAAAATAAACACCTATTTCTTAAGCTAGATGTCTCAGAGTTCAGTTGCAGACAACAGAAATACACCAGGCTTGTTTAAGTAGAAAGGGTGAGAAAAGCAGGCCATGGGTCAGGACTGACTCCCCGCCTGAGAGTCACATGATCTCTGCCTGAGCTTGAGAAATCAACAGTCACTACCACAGGAAGCTGATGAATCAGGAAGCTGCTCACAGAGCCTGCCTGCTGCAATCACACTCGGTGACAGCCAAACGGATGTCCCATGCTGCGTAGCTCTGCTCTAAATTTGTATCTTGCACAAGAGCAGAACCTAAACTGCAGAGTCCTCGCTCCGGGAAACTGGGAAGTGCTGGTTAGCTCTCTGTGTTCTGCAGTTCAGAAGAAACTATTAAGAGTAGTTTCGATGGGTGCTGAGCAACCAGCCCATGGCAGACAGCATACTCCTGAGGTCACCTTTGGTTGCTCACAGCCCTCCAACACTGCATAGGGGCAGATCTTTAAACACAGAATTGAGGAAAACAGACAGAACTTCATGGCACAATTCACAGCAGGGTGGTTAAACAAACACATCCACTATCTGGGTGTGGTGGTTCATGCCTGTAATCCCATCATTCAGGAGGTGGAGGCAAGAGGATCAGATGGTAGAGGCCAGCCCAAGACCCTGTCTCAAACAACAACATCAAAAACAAAACACATACCCAAATCAACACTATTTTTTTCAATAAAGTATACACTTTTAAGGATTTCTAAGTGCCAGGCCGGGTGCTGGTGGCTTGTCTTTAATCCTAGCCACTCGGGAGGCAGAGATCAGGAGGCTCACAGTTCAAAACCACCCCAGGTAAATAGCTCATGAGCCCCTGTCTCAAAAATACCCAACATAAAAAAGGGCTGGTGGAGTGGCTCAAGGTGTAGTCTCTGAGATCAAACTCCAGTACAGCAAAAAAAAAAGAAAAAAGAAAAAAGAAAAAAAAAAGGCCAGTTGGTAAAGTTGGTGAAAGGAGGAGGAGAAAACAGTGTGGCGATCAGAAATGAAAAGGAAATGACATCGAGCGAGTATTGGGAGTGATATAATTGGAGGCCCAGTTGGATGTCTATTTGAAGTCCAATTCATTAAATTTAATATTAATATAAAGAATAATTCAATACAATCTATTAGTACATTTATAAGTAATTTAATTTAAATGTTTTCTAATTTACCACACCAAAACTAATCCAGCAGGTTTAATATATCATAATTTCTATACTCCTTTTTTTTTTGGTGGAGTTGGGGTTTGTATTCAGGGCCTGTGCTTGCTAGACAGGTGCTCTGCCTTTTGAGCCACCCTGCCAGCCCTTTTATGTGTTGGGGTTTTTTGCGATAAGGTCACGCTATTTGCCCAGGCTGGCTTCGAGCCACAATCCTCCTGATCTCTGCCTCCTGAGTAGTTAGGATTACAGGCGTGAGCCACTGACACCCAGTTGGATCTGGGGTTTGAACTCAGGATTTGAACCACTTGAGCCATGCCTCCAGTCCTAATTTCTATACTCTTAATTTGACAATTCTTTATGCTTTGATTTCCTCCCCCCAGCCTCAAAACTCAGTTCCCCCTCCAGTGACCTTGAGAATCCCAAGCATATTTAAAGAGACACCTGCTCTGGCACCTTCTCCTACCACTGCTCCTCCCCATCCCTGCTCCACCAAAAGAGCGGGGACGTCCACTCTCACAGACTCCAGAGCCCCTCCACTTTTTTGGGGGAGCAGCTGGTCTCCCACCGAGGCTGAGGTAAGTGCTGGGTGGTGATGGACAGGGAGTTGCTGCTGGCTGTGGGCTTTGGGCCTGGCAGGACCTTGCGGGGCAGGGGGGGGGGTCATGGTCTTGGTTGGCTCCAGACTGAGCCTCCACCCTTCCAGGCCCCAAATCCCTTCCTAACCCTGTTGACCCAGCTTAGCCCTGAGGTGTTTGTGGCAGCTCTTTCTGTAGGTCCAACCATCTGTCACCTGCCTTGCTTCTTGAGAAGGGAAGGTCTCTTGGGGGCCACTCAGGAGCAGGGTGAGGGTGCTTCAAAGTGAGACCTTGCCATGACAGCCTCTTGGAGACCCTTGAATCCTAGGTAAGAGGGAGATGACTCCCTGGGGTCCTGTCTTACAGTATTCACCCCGCCCCTGTTTGTTCTGGGTACAGCCCACCACTGTGGTCCACCTGGTGCATGGGGTCACCTGCCAGGATAAAGGCTTTCCGGAGCAAAGGGTTCCGCCGCAGAGACCCCTGCCCTCTACCCAGACAGTCCTCACTATTCTCCATTCTGTCACAGCTGCAGAACTCATGAGGAAAGACTTACCTTCTGGCCCCAGACTGGAAGCAAAGGAGCTGCCATTGAGCTGAGGACAGTGAGCCATGTCTGAAGCACCGTCCTGCCCCAGGGAGGAGACCTCTGTCCCAAGCTGCAGCTTGGGGATCCTGTACAGGGCCTGTGTCCATAACGACCCCAGCCAACTCCAAGCCATGCTGGATGTTGGGGTGTCCCCAGAGGAGGCTGCCTACATGGACCGCAATGGGAGGGTGAGGTACCCCCAGGGACTTCCCAGGGCTGGTGTGTGTGTGGGGGGAAGAACGTCATCTCTTCATCCCATAGTGCTGGCCTGGCCCTGTTTCAGGTCAATCCCCACTGCTTGGGGCTTGGGTACATGAGGGTGGTCTTCAGAGGAGTTGGGATAGGTTCTGGAACAGATATATGGCTTTAGAGGGCACAGGGGACCTTAATGAGACCCTGGAAGAAAACAGGGGTTCAGCTGTCCCACCCTCAGACAGGCCTCATGGTCGCATGCTACCATGGTTTCGGGAGTATTGTGGCCCTGCTCAGGCGCTGTCCTTTCCTTGACGTGAACCAGCAGGACAAAGAAGGGGACACGGCCCTCATGCTGGCTGCCCAAGCAGGTGCGCGTCTGCGGGACACCCCCCATCCCCCACAGCCGGCCATCAGAGCCACAGCCCTGCACCTTGCACGAGGTTCTCCCTGCCGTGGGGTGGAGGGTGGCTTTGGGGCCTTATCACCCCCTCGCCTGGGGGACCCTGCTCCTCCCCCTCAGGTCACGTGCAGTTGGTGAGTCTTCTGCTCACCTACTATGCGGGCCTGGACCTGGAGCGCCGGGACCAGCGGGGACTCACCGCACTGATGAAGGCCGCTATGCGGGACCGCTCCGAGTGCGTGGCGGCTCTCCTCATGGCAGGTGCGTGGGCCCTGGACTGGGTGTGTGTCCTCCAGTTCCTCCACTGAGCGTCCCTGCCAGACACTAAGTCAGCCATCATTTAGCATGCAGAGCAGAGAGGTGGGGAGAGAACATCAATCCAGGCCAGCTTTCTGCAGGAGGCATTTCTCTGGAGGATTGGGCTTCTCACAATCAACAAAGTCCAGCTATTGATAGCTCTGCTTATGGGGGGGTCCCAGAAAGGAAATTTGGGGAGGGTAAACTAGGTCAGCTATCGAACCATAAACAACCATGGGCTGGTATCTGAACCAGACTCTTTGGGTTCTAGTTTTGGCCCTGACACTGCTGAGTGACCCTGGGCCGATGGCTTCCCTCTCTGAGCCTCTCTGGTCTGACCTATGACAAGCCAGGTCAGGTGTTGAGACCAGAGATATGTGCGGGGTGGAGTTGGGGAGGGGGGTGAGGATCACACTGGCTGTGGCATTGTGAGCCCTTATTATCCCCTCCCCAGGTGGGGCTGCCCTCTGCTGGTCACTCCAGGGAATCCCAGCCTCCAACTTTTCCGTTCCCCACCCGAATGGATTTGGGGTGAGAGGGGAGGGAGCACCACATCTTACTTTTGTCCCAGACTCCTCATCAAGCACCCCAACATTAGAGGGGTGTAGTGATGAGAGAGTCGGCACACAGGGCACAGCTTCCACCTGTCCTGGGCCACGTGTACTCCACTCTTGTGCAGTGTTCCTTGATTCAGGAGCCCCCTCCTCTGCTCTGGCTTGGACACCTCCCACCCCCACCCGTAGGCTCCCTGGGCTTCTCCCTGCCTGGATTCGGTCTCTTTTCTCTCTGTACAGGAGGCTGCCATTCTAGCCTCCCAGGCTGGGACTTTGTGGTTTTGAATCTGACTCAAATCAGGCCTGCTGCTGCAGAACCTTCCCCTCCACAAATCACTGCTCCTGGTTTCACACCTTGTCACCCTGTGCCCTTTCCAGGTGCAGACCTGACCTCTGTGGATCCTGTCCAGGGTAAGACAGCCCTAGAGTGGGCAGTACTGGCCGACAGCTTTGACACGGTGCAAAGAATCCAGCAGCTGCTGCGGCGGCCCAGAGTGGAACAGCTCAGCGCATATTCAGGCCTGAGTGGCCAGCCGCTTGCCGCAGGCTTTGTGGGGGGCGGGGGGGGAGGCGGCGGTGGGGGCGGCGGGGGGCGCGGGGGGGGAGGGGCGGGGGGGCGGGGGGCGGGGGGGGGGGTGGGGGAGGGTGGGGGGGGCGGGGAGGGGCGGGGGGGTGGGGGGCCGCGGGGGGTGTGCGGGGGGGGTGGCGGGCCCCGGGGGGGAGTGGGGGGACCGAGATATCGTGGTGAGGGGGTCGGGGGTCGCTGGCGAGGGGGCGGTGGTCGGCAGC